CAATGTTTTATTAACCCTAAATTCCCTTTTAGTGCAGATGTTCTAAGTCAGCTTGATTGATTGACCTATAGCAGTGGTTCTCAAAGTGTGGTCCCCAAATCAACAACACCAGCATTACCTGGAACTATAAGAAATGCAGGTTATCAGATTGCAACCCAGACCTGCTAAATCAGAAACTCTGCACCTTAACAAAACTTGCAGGTGATTTGGCTGTGCACTAAGTTTAGGAATGACTGATCTACACTAGAGTCAAATCCTTGGTATGGTGAGCAGCTCCATACCACCGTCTTAGTGAACATTGTGGATTGTGTAGTCATTTCATGGTTGGCACTTTTATCCATTGTCTCATGTTTCTTCTTTAAGGCTCTGCAGAATGTCTCACTATTGTATCATATTCGTGTTTGCAAGGCACTATCCATAGACTTGCAGCTCTCAAGCTCCTATAAAGTGCTGGCAATTGAGGAGTGGAAAATCTTTCTTAGGGTGAACACAAAATATGCAATGGACTAGGGATTAATTTCCAGCAGCAGCCTCCTAATTTTGTATTCATAACATGCATATGTGCTGAGCTGCACATGGAAGGTCTGCTGATACACATTAGGTAATTGGGCATCCAGCAGCCCCATTTGTATGCAGAGGGAATTGCACACCTCCCATTAACAAGTCCAAAATTAAAGCCCAGTTTGAAGCTGGCTGAAGGCTCACTGCTAGGAACATAAGGAGATAAGGAAGAAATGGCTTCTGTTAATCAGCCCTTTTGACCTCTACTATTTGATCTTTGCTAATTTGTTCTTTGAAATTGTGCATTGTCTGTTGAAGAGAGACTTCTAAGAGTATCTTATTTTTTTGAACTGCATTTACAAGCTGATTCTGTTTATCTATAACATTTCTCCTGACACTGTAATAACATGCATGCTACCGTCTGTTGCTGTGCTGTATTTTTGCTCTATGAACCATTCATGCTCTTGTGGGACCACATGAATCATCCAAAAGAAGAGACACCCAGCAAAGACTCACAGATTGGATGTTGGCATCATTTTGTTTCATTCATCAAGAAGCTAGTTTGTGCCAGGCACTGTCCCAGTGGCTGGGCATATATAGGTCAGTCAGGCACAGTTTCTGCCCTCAAAACATCACAATATTTTAACAGTTCTTGATTATTTAGAGTCGAATATTTTTTTCATAAATGAAGTTTTCCCTGATAACCCAATGAATTGAAGTGACTCCTTGCTTCTTGAGCTACTAATTATGTTCAACCAGTGTCTGAGGAGAATGAGGGAACCATGCCTGGAAGAGTCAAGCTCAAAAGCACAAGATGGTGGTTGGTTGGCCACTCAGGTGTGTCATCAGGAAGCAATAGCTGCACTAATTCAAAAGCATATATGTACCCCTATGTTTATTGCAGCATTATTTATAATAGCCAAGATTTGGAGGCAGCCCAAGTGCTCATCAGTAGACAAGTAGATAAAAAAGCTGTGGTACATTTACACAATGGAAAGAGAAGGAAATCTTACCTGTTGTGACCTCATGGATAAACCTGAAAAGTGTAATGCTAAGTGAAATAAACCAGTCAGAGAAAGAAAAATACCATACAATTTTACTTATGTGTGGAAACTACTGAACAAAACAAAGTAACAAACAAAATAGAAACAGATTCATAGATACAGAAAACAGACTGAGGGCTTTTGGTGGGGAGGCTGGATAAAAAATGTGAAGGGATTGAGCAAAAAACAAAAACAAAAAACCCCAACCTCATAGACCAAGATAACAGTATGGTGATTACCAGAGAGAAAGAGGGTGGGGGAAGTGAAGAACAATGAAAGGAGGATAAATGGTGATGAAAGGAGACTTGACTTGGGTGGTGAACAAATAATACAATATACAGATGATGGATTGTAGATTTGTACGCCTGAAGCCTATATAATTTTATTAACCAATGTTACCTCAGTCAATTCAATAACATAAGTGTGAGAAGAGATGGCTGCATTGCAAATGTCCCATATTCCCATTTTGTGGTAACAAAGAATCCATGAACAGACTGACAGGGACCAGAGGAGGGGGGAAGGCTGATAGGGAAGGAAAGAAGGGAAAGAATCTAGTTAAAGAAAAAGTATAGACTTCCAGCCAAGTTGGAGGGGTAGGTAGGTACACTTTGCCTCCTTATACAACCAAAAAAAGAACAACAACAAAAATAAGAACAAAAAAACAACCAGAACTGCCAGAAAATCAAACTGTATGGAAGTCTAACAGCCAAAGAGATAAAGAAGAAACATTCATCCAGACTGGTAATAAGAGATGAGCAGCCAAGGCAGACAGGAATGTGGCAAAGTGGTGGCTAGAGGACTCGGTTGTCCCACATTTACCTGTGGATAAATGAGGAGGAACAACTGGGGAGCAAGACAGACTGCACAACCCAGTGTTCCATTACAGGGAAATAAAGCCTCAAAACCTCTGTCTGAAAAAACCTGTGGGGGATATAGCAGTGGGAGAAACTTCCAACCTCACAAGAAAATTCACTGGAGTGACCCACAGGTTCCTAGAATGTTCACAACATCTCCATCCAGGGATCAGCACCACAAGGGCCCAGTTTGCTTATGGGTAGGGGGAGAAGTGACTGAAAGGGGGAAAGAGCTGAGCAAGTGACATTATTTTCTCTCTGACCCCTCTCCCACATACAGTGCCACAATGCAGTGAAGTGAGTTGCCCCGCACTGGTGAATATCTAAGGCTCCAATTCTTACAACATAACAGGTGTGCTGAGATAAAGAAATATGGCCCAAATGAAAACAGATCACAATGGAATTCTGTGCAGCAAAAAGAAAGAAGGAGCTCCAACCCTTTGCAACAGCATGGATGGAACTGGAAAGCATTATGCTGAGTGAAATAAGCCAGGTGTTGAAAGACAAATACCATATGATCTCACCTTTAACAGGAAGCTAAACAACAAAACAAACAAGCGAGCAAAATATAACCAAAGACACTGAAATACAGAACAGGCTGATAGGGACCAGAGGGGAGAGGGGAGGAAATTTCAGGGGAAAATGGGAAGGACTCACAGGAACAAGTATAAAGGACACAAAACTAACAAGAGTGGATGGGGGAAGGAGCTGGGGAGCATGGGGTGGGGTGGGCTGGGGTGGGAGTAAAAGACAGAAAACTGTACTTGGAAAATAAAATAAATAAATAAAAATAAATAAAAGGGAAAAATAAATAAAACTTTTGTTAAAAAAAAGAAAACAGATCAAAACTCCAAAAATAGAACTAAGTGATGAAGAGATAGCCACCCTATCAGATGCAAGTTCAAACCACTGGTAATCAGGATGCTCACAGAATTGGTTGAGTATTGTTGCAAAATAGAGGAAAAAGTGAAGACTATGCAAAGTGAAATAAAGAAAAATATACAGGGAACCAAAAGTGAAGGGAAAAAAACTAGGACTCGAATCAACTATTTGGACCAGAAGGAAGGAATAAACAGTCACTTAGAATAGAATGAAGAAACAAAAATTCAAAAAGATGAGGAGAGGCTTAGGAACCTCCAGGACAACTTTAAACATTCCAATATCTGAATCATAGGGGTACCTAAAGAAGAAGAGGAAGAGCCAGAATTTGACAACATAATGGAGGAGAAATCCCCCAATCTGGCAAAGGAAATAGATTTCCAGGAAGTCCAGGAAGCTCAGAAAGTCCCAAAGAAGTTGGACCCAAGGAAGCATACACCAAGGCACATCATAATTACATTACTCAAGATTAAAGGTAAAGAGAGAATCTTAAAGGCAGCAAAAGAAGAAGAGGTATTTACTTACAATGGAGGTCCCATAAGGCTTACAGTTGATTTTTCAAAAGAAATCTTTCAGGCACGAAGGGGCTGGAAAGACATATTTCAAGTCATGAAAGGCAAAGACCTACATCCAGATTACTCTATCCAGCAAAGCTATCATTTAGAATGGAAGGGCAGATAAAGTGCTTTTCAGATAAGGTCAAGTTAAAGGAGTTCTTCATCCCCAAGCCCTTATTATATGAAATGTTAAAGGGACTTATGTAAGAAAAAGAAGATGATCAAAAATATAAACAATAAAATGACAACAAACTCACAACTATCAACAACTGAATGTACCAAAACAAAACAGAACAAAAACAAAACAAACTAAGCAAAGGACTGAACAGAAACAGGATCACAGAAATGGAGATCACCTGGAGGATTATCAGTGGGGAGGAGAATGGGGGAAAAATGAAGGGGAAAGGAACAGGGATTAAGAGGCATAATTGGTATGTACAAAATAGATAGGGGGAGTTTAAGAATAGTATAGGAAATGGAAAAGCCAAATAACGTATATGTATGACCCATGGACATAAACTAAGGTGTGTGTGAGGGGAATGCTGCTGGAAATGAGGTGCAGGGCAGAGGGAAATAAAGGGGAGAAAAATGGGACAACTGTAATAGCATAATCAATAAAATATACTAAAAATAAGAACAAGTATAAATGACCCACAGACATGGACACAGGCTGGGGATTTACTGTGGAAGCAGGGGGGGTTGTGCTAGGCAGGGGAGAGCCATTGGGGAAAACTGGGACAACTGTAATAGAACAACAATAAAAAAATTAAAACAAAAAAAGAATGTATGAGCATTTTTTTGTAGGAGTCACATGAAAGAGAATGCCATCTAAAGCTATCTCTAAGGGATGTTCCCATGAGCACCACCTAGAGGAACAATGGATCCCTGCAAAGAGAATTTACCAAGAGCCAACAGTGAAGCAGTCTCTTGTCACTTACCAACTGCTTTGTATTCTCTATTTGGTCAAGTGCATTTTTTTTTTACTGTGACAACTAGATGGTAAGATTCTGGAGAACAGACCTGGTTCTTAAAAAGGTTATCTTCCATAGTACATATTTGATGGTGATGATAGCAAATACAGTATATTAACAGAAAGATTGTCTGGTGGTTTATGGGCATTAATAATTTTTCATGATAATAAGCAGTTTTTTTTCCCTTCATTCTAGAGTAGGTGCATACACCTTGATAGCACCAAATGAAAACAGAAGAAGTCAGATACAAAGGAGTATGTATATTTATTTAACCCTCAGCTTATTTTCTTGTAGCATAAAATTGGTTTGCTTTGTTCTGAAGTATTTTTAATTTCTGATTTGAATATACTCACCAGATCTCATCAAGTTTTTTTATTTAACTTTAGCATTTTTAATTATACTTAAAAATTATTCATTTGTTAATGCTTCTAAATTTGAGCAGAACTCACAGCATACTTGTGAATCTCAGATTTCTGTTGGGCTTAAACAGTTTCATACCTGTTGCCAATAGACCCATTTAGTTCTCATAATGTTGGTCTGAATGCAGATATTTTTATAGGACTATGAATACTTTTGAAATAGACAAGTTATATACTTCAAATAATAATATAATTTGTCTTTTTTGATGTTTTATCTCTTCATAATGGAATTATTTTTTGAGTTTCTGTGCTCCCATAATTTTGTAACTAACACAGTCTACTTTCAACTATTTGTATTTGCATACTGTAGGTAAATACACTTCACATTGTTGATAAGTTCTGCAACTGCAAGTGAAACAATGTATAATGATGCCAGTTTTACCATAGGCTACTTGATATAAACGAGAGCCAAGTTCCTATGGCATCAACATTACAATGAAACAAGAGTATAAGAGGAACTACCATACTTCACTTTTCTTCTCTAGATTATAACCTGTTAGAGGACAGGGAGCACACTGTCCTTATTTCTGTTCTGATACCTAGTGGGTGTATAATATATATAATTGATTTTGTACAGTAAAATAAATGTCATTTTAAGTTACTGCATTATCCATTAATTAGAGTTGGAAGGAAAACAGTTACTAATTTAGTTCCCAAAGCAGTTATGAAGCTTGTTCAAGTCAAGTTGTGGGACTAGTACCAGGATTCTGTGCTCTCCTACGTTAGATCTGGGTAGCAACTTTAACTTTATGACTAAATGGTGGACACAAGGGCACAACAGGAAAGCAGCCTTGTTAAGAGTCTCCACCAGACAGGTATTTCCCTGGTGGTAAAACTGGGTCAGTGCAGAATATGACAAATGTTGCGTTTGATTTAAATACTTAACTCTTAGTGTGGTCTGGATTTTTGAGGTATTTCAGAAGTTGTTTTTCTCAAATAAATGGACATTTGGAAGTCAGATCTAATGGGGAAATTCTGGCATGGGTTAGTACAGAACCAGTATCTCTGGCGCCCCTGCTGTCACTCAGTGTATATTTGGGCAATAAGCACTGCTGTCTGAAGTGCCAGAAACTGGAGCAAGTGCAGTGCAGAGCCCTCAAGCGCTATAGTTGCAGTAAGCTCGGGGAACGTTTAAAATAAAGAATGTGGACATCATAATTACCTGGGTATATATATTTGCCTGTGTGTGGAAAGTTCTTATTGACATGAATATTCTAGTTTTGCACATATTCTCTAGAACAAGAAGGAAAACTGAACTTCTTTATTTTAGTGCAAGTTCAGGTTATTTTCCAGATTTGAAACTCCTGTGCACAGAAAGTGCCACAGAGGTGGGCCCAGGGCTACTCTGAAGGATTAGGATTGAATGGTGTCTACCTTCCCTGGATATCTCTTCCACTCATGCTTGCATGTATTTCATAGCCCTCTGATGGTTATTTTTAATGTTTTAAAGGGACCAGTTTCCTTTGAATATTCTAATAATTGATCATTTGGTATTTCTCACTTGGTTTAGTTGCTGAGAAAGAGCTAGAGAACCTGGCGAAGTGGAAGGAGCAACATAGAGCCAAGCCAGTTCACCTGATGCCGGTGCGGCTAGGTAAGTGTCTGAGTAGGGAAGGACAGGTAGTGCAGGATCCTGTCAGCACCTCTCCTGGGTCTATATTTGAATGTATCTTACAGGTTGTTGGGTCACTGTGCTTCTTGGAATGGAACGCACTTAAAATGGAACCACTTTAGTATCTTAAGTATGCAGATATATTGTTGTTTTTGATTTTCTGCAAGTAGCAAACATGTGATTACATAGTTATTCGAGAATAAAGTGATGACTTAATTGCCAAATAATTTAGAGCCACTTCAATGATCAAGGCCGAAGAAATCTCACCCAGGGCCCTACATATGCCCTGTCATAGCACTAGTCAGGATGTGAGTAAAAGCTTTCACAAGCACAGTAATCATTTCACCCAGTGGTGGGTGTAAAGAGAAACGTCACCTCTGTGTTCATTTCAGCAGATAGAGACCTTTGGGTGTCTGAAGCACATGCTGCCTTTGCCCATGTTTGAATCTTCCAGTGGGAAAGCCACCTAATGGGAATCTTCAGTCAGTCCTTTCTTTCCTTTTCTTTTGTAGTAGCAGCTAAGAACTTAAAGGGCTAGGCACACAGTTTCTACAGATTTAGTAAATGCAAATGTGTTAAGCGTCAGGGGCCACTTACTGTCATAATAGTTTTAGAGAAATATTTTTTCCAGAATATAAGTAAAAATAAGCTAATTTGGAAATAATTTAATGGGGGAAAGTAATAGTATTATCACCACCCTCCCACTATATTTCATGGAAAGGGTTAATCAAGTCTCACCTTTACACTGAATGAGCCAGATTTGAGAGGTACACCAGGAAACACTTTGGTCCTGCCTAACTAGCTGCTTCAGACTGGCCCTGTGGGACTAGTTTTTTTCCCATAAATTCCAAATTCCCAAATTTGGATGAAATTTGATTTTTTTATCTTTCTCAACCAATAATGTTGTTCCGCCAATTTTAGGTGTAGAACAGTGTAATTTTAGTAATTAATCTTCAATTCTAGCTACTGGTCAAAATGGCTACTAATGGAGATTAAAACTTCTACCACGCTCCAACCCAGGGCTATTTTGGATAGAAAGCTGCCAAAGAAATGGGGCATAGCTGAGTTTTTCTCTGATGACTGCTCTGTTTCCAGATTCTGGCCCCTCCAGGATCAAAGGGAAAAGGGGATATAAGAGAGACTAATCCCAGTCACTTCATGTCTTGGTGTGTGCTTACTGCAAGTGCTTCCCCCTGGGGTTCTTGGAGTTCTTCCACATCCCTCCTTGCTTGCCCTCATCTTTCACCTGGATTCTCCCAACAGAGATGATACACTTGCCTGCTGGCATGCTTGGCTTCACTATTGGCTCTAGGTAGGTAGCATCTCTTTGTGGGGCTGCATTGTTCCTCCAAGTGGCCCACAGGGGCAAGTCCCTTTAAGAAAGCTTTAGATTAGCTTTCTCCTTTTCAACAGTCCAGACTGGGAGTACTGGAAATACTTGTTTGTCCTCTTTCACCACAAGTTTTGGAACTAGAGGCCATTGGTCATGTAACTACCTCTTCTGAGTAGTCAACCCACAACAACCTTTAGGCTCTGACTTTTCTATGCCTGGGTCCCCCCATCAGTCTTTTAGGGACATGGATTGAAAGCTCCAGATGATTTTCATTAAACTTCTCTGTTCATTCTTATATGAAGATTCCTCTTTCCCCAAACACACAGAGAAGGTGAGCTTTATAAAGACATCTTTCCTCTGATTTCTACCTCCCTTTGACCTATCCAATGTTTTTTATAGGATGACAGTAGTTGCTAGTTAATGTTCCCCAAACTGGTTCAGTTACCCCTCTGAAGATCCTGCTTAGGGACCCAAGTACCTCGTTTTGGAGTTTGGAATAGTTGGCTCCTCTTGTCTTCAGACCTTAGATAAAAATGAACAGACTCTCATTTTTTTCATATCTAGAAATGGCCAAAAATATTTGTGCAGGAAGAGGCTTGGGGGTAGAGAAAAATTTCTAGAATGTATTAAACTTTATGATGATTTTTGAACAAAACCTGTAAACACTTAGACATCTGTTTTTATTCATTTATTTTTTATTCTCAGCTCTTCCCCTTTTCTTCTATTTCTTAAAGTATTGGAATAGTTTGAGAAGATAATGAAAATGGCTGTAATATTAGATAAAAGCTTCAATGGCTCCCACTGTTTCTTTCTTTTTCCTTGATCCCCTGTGACAGAGATAGAAAGGTCAAAACCAAACAGGCCTTATATATCTTTTGGGATTCAGATGAGAAGTGTTTATGGTGTCTTTATCAGTTCAACTATAAATACTATGGTGAATGCAAATTGTTTTAATGTATCTTCTGTGACAATGAATCTTTCAGAGAACTAACACTTTTAGAGACCAAAACACCAGAGAATTATATCAAAGGGATCTTTATAATACACACACAAGCTTGTATAAACACTGGGAAATCTCTAAACAGTAATTCATAGATGATTACAAAGCTAGTTTAAGAGGGAGTAGGCACATAATCTAAAGTTTATGTTTTTCTCTTGAATAATGAAAGAAAAACAATAAATAGTATACATTAGCCATTAATTACTAACTAGAATATTTCCATTGTACTTTTAAGAACTGGGTCATAAAGACTACATATTTTAGTGGCAAGAGTGTTTCCTAAGTGTTTCCTAACCTTTGCCACCTGAGTACAGGGCAGACAGGTCAGAAAAAGAAAAGCGAATCAAGCATCACTGATCATCATCTTTATTAGGTTGAGGAATGGTCATACTCAAGCAGGAGGAATGTTCTAGAATTTCCAAGGGAGGCAGTATTTCTTATTACTTAGCATGGACCTTCAGGTATGATTTCAATATAAATGAAAACCTGAATACTGACATGACTGAAAAACTTTACTAGGATTGTCCTGTTCTTTTAGGAATATGGCCTTTCTGTCTAGCTCTGTTTCTCTTTTAAGTGATTACCATTCTTTAATGTCTTATTAAGAAAATTGGTTCTGCTCTTACTTCTAGAAGTATGAAAATGTTAAAGAAACTCATGGTATTGTCTTATCATGCATTAGTTAGTTTTTGATGGCTGACATCTCAGCTGAACATTCACGTTTCAACTTCGTGACTTTATTTCTTCCATAGGTGGAAGCAAATCAGAGGCTGAAGTCAGGCAGAAACAACAACTCCAGCTGATGCAATCTAAATACCAGCAGAAGGTCAGAATCGATCTCTTTTAGTTTAATTTTGGCAAATAATTTGAACACCAACACTTTCTAGTAACCATGAAAAAACACAGTAACTTAACCAAAAGTGTAAATCCTTTCAACCAGTTGCAAAAGGAAATTCTCAAAAGCAAAGAAATCAGGACTGAGAAGTGAAGAGGTAAATATCTAGAATTTTCATCCAAGCTATATATTAGCAGGACCTCTGATTTAGGGATTTTTTTCTACTTCAAGTTAACTTTACTAGGTTTTGAATATTTTGATTCCAACAACACAGATTTGTTTACCCAATAACAGTCACAAAAATAGTAAAAAAAATAAACTATTTAATGTGCTTAGTGATTTTTTTCAACAAACTGAGTTTTATGATCAGGAAAAATGATCTGCCTACTTTTTTCCCCTCCCTGACCTGAAGGGTGGAGGGATGTGCAGAGAGACAGAGAGACCGAAGAAGAAATACAGAGAGAAATTTCATAGGCAGAAGTAGCCTGATCATTCTCTGTGATCTAAGTGGCTTGAAGCCCCAGCCTATAATCATGGCGAGGTATAGCACAAACAATACTGTAATTTGCCTTTCATAATAATTTTGTGCTTCAGAGGTTCAGGCTGAAAAATAGTAACTGTTTTTTGTCTTTTGTACTTTCAATACAATTTAGCTAAAAAAAGAAGAAGCTGTAAGAATCAAGAAGGAAGCTGAAGAAGCTGAAATCCAAAAAATGAAGGCAATTCAGAGAGAGAAGGTAAGATGGTAGAGAAAATGATTAGCTAACCTTTAGTGAGTGTGTTTTATGTGCCAGATTCTCTTCTAGACACAGCCCATACACAAACTCATTTAATCCTTATAATAACCCTATAAAGTATATGTTATTGTTATCACCCTAGCTGAGAAATGAGGAAACTAAAATGGAGTGTGTAGATAACTTGCCCAGACCTCATAGCCAAGTAAATAGAAGTAGGATTCAAATCCAGATCAATGGACCTCAGAGCTTGAGTTCTTAGTCACCACACTATCTTGCTTCTCAGGCGAGTTATGGAAGTAGTCACTATGTATTTGGCTATGAGCAAAACAGGTAGTAACAATGGCAATCAGTGTGCACAACCATATTTATATCCAAATACTGACTTTCCCATGGTGAGTGTGACAGAGGTAAACACACTCTCTTACTCAGAGAAGAGAAAGTGTGCCTTTGAGTTTCAGTATTAGTGATATGATCTATTCAAACCTCCAAGTCTTTTTAGTGCTGATACTTATTCTGAGACTTGAGTAAATAAACCTCCTAAAAATGTTCATCTGCTAGAGAAGGAAGAACATCATGTTATTCTCCAACACCCCTTCCTCATACTTTCATTCCCCACAAAGTCCTAAACTGAAGTAGGGTTTAAGTGCTTAAGGGTTAGGGGAAAGGGGTTGACTCATAATACTGACTCCCAAGTATGACACCTGGTGCAGGGACAAGTCATGGAAACATAACTTCTGTTCCTGCTGTCTGTCTGCCTCTCTTCCCCTCCTTCTATTTTCTTTTAAATATTAACTGTTTGTCAATATTTAAACCTGGTTACCAAACAACAAATATTTTTGCCAGACTTAATGAAGTGAAACCTGATGACTTACAGAATGCATGAGAGTATATAAGTCTCTTCTTCCCCTGGGGAGTTCTCTACCTGCTGGTGAGCAGACTGAGTTTTTCTTGGAAGGTGTCCTGTTTTGCTGTCTAAACTTGAACAGGCCATATTCCTTCCTAAACTATTGGGTTGGCCAAAAAAGTCTATTGAGCTTTTTTTCCATAAAAGACACATTTTTCATTTTCACCAATAACTTTCTTGATTTGGATATTTTGAGTATGTCATCTTCTCCCGTGTGGTATAATGTTGATTGTTCTTAATTATTGTCTCAATTTTTATCTCTATCAACTTCAGCTGGTCCACATGTTCATGGAGCATCATCCAGCAAGAAATCTCCAGCATGAAACTTGGCAAGCCACTTTTGACACATTTGATCACTCATAGAACCTTCTCCATATGCTACACAAATCTCTTTCTTTCTTTCTTCTGTTTTTTTTTGCATTTCAGTTGTTTTTACCTTTCTTGAAATAATAAACATAATATGCCAATAATGTTGCATATTTTCTCTATCTTCAATATTTAAATGGCTGCACAAAAATTTTTTGATAAGTTTATTTTTAAAGTGCATGCTGAAATGACAACTGTCACAATACAATCTAACAAAATGGTTTCAAATGAAATTGAAGATAACTAAGTATTGCTAGAGCCATCTTATGAAAAAAAAACAGATGAACTTTTTGGCCAACCCAATATTTCTGTAAAATGACTCTGTAAGTCCTACCTTGTCTTCTTCCAAGGCCTAGGAACATCTGTAGATTTAGATGTGATATCCCTAAGGATGTAGCCTCTGGGGGAGGAGATGACTGGACTTATACATGTGGTACTGTAGTGAAATGATGGAGGTATAAGGAAAAAAGAATATAGAAAGTTTGTTTACAAAATTCAATTGAGCAATTTGTTTCCAGCTGATGAGGTATTACACCCTCACTGAAAACATTTTTATTACAAACTTTTAAAAACCCATCTTCTTTCTTTCTACTTCTTTATGCCCCACTCTTTTTTCATCCAACTCCCCCTCCCTCCACTTTCTTCTTCAAAGGCTCTCTCAGGTCGTGTGGTTGTAGAGGAACATCTGCTTACATGGAACAGAGTCTGTGTGCATTGCAAGTGGGACTAGGACAAAACTGAAATCATCGCCAGGAACTGAGTTAAGAGGCTTGCATATCCTGAAGAATTACTGTGTTGCAACCTCTTAATTTAAAAGTCACTTACTAGTTGTCATTTAATACCCATAACTGGCTGGCTTGTGGGTCATTTTTAACTCATTTCTTCATGGGTCGAATAATGTATATGATTCAGATATGTTAGTGGTTGAAATGGTTTTCCTTACCATTAAGTAAAAGCAGCATTTTCCCCTTTCCAAGTGATACCATAACACTAGTTGCCTAGTAATCACCAACTGTAGAAATCTTAATGAGGTTGGCTTTTCTAATATGATAACTGTAATAATTATTGGTATAAATTTGTTTGAAAGTGAGAGATGGGAAGACAGATTATGTACATCCCTTTCATTCAAATTGTGGTCCCTGAACCAGCAGCACTGGCACCACTTATTAGAAAAGCAGAATCATGAGCCCACCCTAGACCTTCGGAATCTACATTTTAACAAGCTCTCCACGTGATTCTTGTGCACATAAACATTGCAGAGCAGTGTCTAAACTACCTTACAAGAGAGTGAGCAGCCCACCCTGGTCCTTCCACAGACTTGATTTCTCAGGCTAATTGGTCGGCACCGCCACCATGACCCAGCTCTTCCTGTTGTATATACATCTGTGGCTTTTCATACTAAATGTGAGCCTATTTAGTAGCTTGCGTCATAAAAGAAAAATGAACATTAGCTATCTAGTAATGGAATACTTCACATTGCCAGTGTGAAAATGGCCAAGAGAGGCGATAATGGCTGTGCTTATTGAGCATTTATTCTTTAAAATGCACAGTAAACACACACAGACATCAGCCTGCAAAATACTTCCCTCCTCCCCAGGTAGATGGCTGCTGTCCAGGAACTCTGAGCCCAGTAGAATCCATGCAGCCTGTTGCCACCTAAGAGCCTCTACCTTGGCCTCTGTTCTTACCACCCCCACCCCTTCAGTTTTCCCTGGGTCTCTCTCTGGTCAGTCAGCACTTGTGTGTGGGTGAGGGGAGAGTAAACTGCATTCTCTGCCAGCACATGTTCTTTGATTCTTAGTAAGCACAGAGGTATAAATGGCAGCCAGCTCTTTAGCATCTGGTCAGGTCAGTGGGGTCCAGGAGGAGTTAATGCTATAGATGAAGTGGTGACTTGGGAGGGCACTATGCCTTAGCATAGGGAATGCATAAGCAAGTATTCCCTATGCTGAGCATGTTGGTGTTAGGTAGACTTCTCGAGGTGTGCTGGAGCTTCCTCTTACTGGTTCATGAGACTGGATTGCTACATTTTCAGAATTTTTCAAACTAGTTAACTTTATAGTAGGAGCTTGAAACTGACCATGTGGGAGTATTTTCACTATGGAATCAGTAAATACTTTTTTCAGACTTTCACAATGCCCACAAATTAACCTCCCCCCTCCCCTCTGCTGAAGCAGGTTGTTAAGTTCAGCTGCTTAGCCCTAACAGGTTCTCTCTCACCCTCCCCTACCATCCACATATCAAAGCCAAGCCTCAGAGGACTAGAAGGTCAAGGATTTTTTGAAGTATCTGCCATATTATGTGTCTGATACTTACTGATTTATAAACATTTAACCCATGTGGTAGGCAGAATAATGTCTCCTCCCCGCCCCACCCACATTCCAATTCCTGGAACCTAGAACTATATTATGTTACATGGCAAAAGGGGGATTAAGTTTGCAGGTGGAATTAAGATTGCTAACTGATTTACTTTCAAAAGGGAAGAGTAGCCTTCATCACCCAGGTGGGTCCAATGTAATCACAAGGGTCCTTAAATTGGAAGAGGGAGGTGAGGATTGAGAGCATGAAGAGAGGGTAGCCAGAGAAAGATTTCGCCTGCCATTGATAGCTTTAAAGATGAAGGAAGATATCACTATCTGAGGAATGTGGGAGATTTCTAGAAGGTGGAAAAGTCAAAGAAACAGATTCACCCCTGCAGCCTCCAGAAGGAATGCAGACCTGCTGAAAACTTGATTTTAGCCCAGTTAGGCCCATATTGGACATCTGACCTCTAGAAATGTATGATTACTAACAAACTTTTGTTATTTTAAACCACCATGTTAGGGGTAAGTTTTTACAGCAGCAGTAGGAAGTTAACACACGCATGTGGTTTTATAGTGATGTATGAATGAATGTCTCCTCTTGCAAATTTATAAAGAGAAAATATCTCTAAAATATTTAGAACATCAGAGTGAAGGAAAGTTATTAAAAATAATAAAACAGCAGAATAGCAGATGTAAGTGCTTTCTTTGCCACTGGATTTAACAGCATATGTAACCAAGTTTTCATAAACCCTCACGGCAGGAGTTTCACTGGATTTAGTGCTGCAGAAGTGATCTTGCACCCTGCTTTCTCCTTATAATCATGTTGGAGAATTAACTAATAACTTGATATTTTCAACTTTCATAATGTCCACACACTTAAAAGGAAAAAAAACCTTCCAATTCTATGCCAAAGACCCTCCCCACCTCCTGGGTTCATCTTATTCTGCCTTGAGCTAGTAGTGCTTGAAATAATATACAATGCTATATAGTTTACAAATACTTCATTTAATTCTTCCAAACTCTTGGGGTAGCATAACCTCAGAAAGAGCAGAAAAATAGCTAGAAATCTGAGTGGCACCCAAAGCCTTTCCTTGCTCTTTTCAATACACCATAAAGTTATAAAGCTTATCAAGTTATTTGGAGCACTGGAGGTCACGGTGTTTTATGCAGACACTGTGAAGTGTTTTTATTTTTAATGTTGTGAAGTGAAGTAGGAATTCACTAGGAGGAAAGTATACATATTAGATGCATAGATGCATACTTACACATATTTTTAAGGAATCACATTTGTTACTTAGTCTAGGAAACTGGTAAGCAGAAAGGGCTGAAGGTTCAAGAATAACTTATGGGTAAAACTCAACATCGAAAACATTATTTCGACATTGTTTTTATAAACTAGGAATATGTCCATTTCTGAAAACTTTCAA